AACTGGAGAGCTCTGTTTGGGCAGAGCAATGAACCTGTCGTAAGACAGAACACTTAATAATAATAACATCAGTTTGCGTGACTAAGATTGCCACATATAAACCTTTAACTTGAATTTTATGGCATGACTCACCTTTGTTTTGGTAGAACTTGACCAAGTGTATCACAGGCATCAACTGGATGCAGTGTACGATCAGATTGGCACTCATAATATATGTTAAGCTCAGAAAGAATGTAAGAGGAATCCTTATCCCACTCAGGAGGTGATTCGAACATGGTACTGAGATGTTGTGAGAACCTGCCAACAGAATCAAGCTCTAATGGTTAAGAATAAAAAACATAATACATTAGAGAATGAGATTTAGAGATACAATATGAGAGAATTCCTAATTCAGAAAAGGTGTGCAAAGACTTTACAGGAAACCAAGAAGACTCACGTGTTGTCCTCATGGAATTCTTGAACGAAGTCAGTGACTTGGTACTCTGGATATAGGAACATGACAGGCCACACCAAGCTGCCACTGTCATCCAAGTGGACACGCCCCTGTGCGACCATTGGACTGCATGGTTCTAGTGTTGACATGGACAGATCTGCAAACAGTTAATATGAGGAAAGAGAATGGAATCATATCCCTTTGGTGATATTCCATATGTTTAAACGTTTGCAATATTAAAGTAATGGAAATCATTATTCATTAATTAATTGATATCTGTGAAATATCCATCTTTAATTTGATAGAGAACAGGATATATGGTACATAGGTAAGTTATGTAAAAGGAAAGGTGTCCAATTCTTCAATATCTTGCCTACCTAACTAACTAACTAACTAGATGGCTTACCGAACCCGAAGGTTCATCACCAAACTAACCAAAGCCCTCCACCGGACCCTGTCCTGGGCCAACAAAATCCAGTTTCCTTCAACTCCTATCTCCCATAGATCCCGCCTGAGATTATCCTCCCATCTACGTCTAGGTCTCCCCAGCGGTCTCTTCCCTTCAGGCTTCCCAACCAGTACCCGGTGCACACCTCTTGTCCCATCCATGCGCGCTACATGTCCCGCCCATCTCATTCTTCTCGACTTAATCACCCTCACAATACTGGGGGAGGAGTACAGATTTTTAAGCTCGTCATTATGCAGTTTCCTCCACGCCCCATCGTCTTCCCTCTTAGGCCCAAATATCCTCCTCAACACCCGATTCTCAAACACCTGCAATCTATGTTCCTCCCTCTGAGTGAGATACCATGTTTCGCACCCATCAAAGAGTTTAAACATGCATATTAGTGGGGCATTTTTGTCTTTATGTTTAAAAAATGTGCAATGTTTCAGGGACTGAGATCAGATTTTTTCAATAAACCCAACTTAAACAGTTTTACCTGATGATGGAAGTAGATCTACCTTCTGATGTTCTCTCCACTAATAAAAGCATGTTTAATGACACCTTTGTCAAAAACATTTGGGCTAATCTTATCAAGAGTCTTGTTAGAAAGCAGTAATTATAGAGGGGAGTTAAATGTGTCCAGAATACTTCTCCAATCAACCAATGAGTGATGTCTACCTAGCAGACTCACTGACTGACAGAATACCAGACTAACTACTGGCTGACTGCGACTAGCTAACTCAGAGGCATGAAGTTATTGATATTCAGCCATAAAAAAAATTCCTTGTTATGGAACCCAAAGGCTCATCACCATGTTCACATAAGCCCACCACTGGACCCTATCCTCAAGTTAAATATACGAGACGCGTCCACAAAGTAAGTTTCCCACTCGTCCCACAGCTAGCAAACCTTATATTGCGCGAAGCGACTGTGCGTACGTGATAGAGCAATGACGTAGCATGGCGCATGCACTAACGGAACTTCCCGCGTTCTCACA